TGGATCCAGTAGGGTTGCCAGCCTCCATGTGGGACCTGGGGATCCCCTGGAATTACACCTCATCCCCAGGCTAAAGAGATCAGCTCCCCTGGAGGAAATGGAAGATTGGGGGGGGGGCTCTGTGGCCCTGTGCCCCAATGAGGTCCCTGCCCTCTCCAGGCTCCATCCCCAAATCTCCAGGGGTTTTCCGACTTGGATCTGGCAATCTTACCCCCCCCACCGGGGACCAGGGGAGACCTGGCAACCCTAAGCCACCTAGAGTATTTTAAAGAGTTGCCAACCTCCAAGTGGGGCCTGGGATTCCAAGGAATCTCGAGTCCTACAGAGATCAGTTCCCTGTAGGGTTGCTAGCCCCCCACTCATAGTGGGGGATCTCCCCCCACACCAGACCCTGCCCCCTGCTGCCAATCAGGGGCGGAACTTACTAGGAACAGGAGGCAGGCCCAAGCTATGTCGCCGGTGTTGTGGCGACATCACTTCCGCCGTGGACCATAAAACAAAATACATTTTTTTAAAAAATCCAATAGAGTTAATAAGAATAAGACCAGAATAAAATCCCAGATGGCGATTTACAGTTTTCTATTCCTTTCTGGACTACTTGGCTACGTGGTGGTGGTATTATCAGCCCCCAGGTCCCAGCGGGAGCTCCCCTGCTTTGGGGGGCTTCGATTTGCTGCTGGACCGCTGGCCGATGGGGGAAACCCCAGCCCCAAACACAGATGTTGTCGCAGGAGGCCCCCAATGCAATGATGTCACTTCCGGGTGATGTCATTGCACTGGGGGCGTTGCACAACAACCCTCTGGTTTGGGGGCAAACTCTGTTGTCTTGAAGCAAAAAAAGAAAAGAAAAGAAAAGAAAAAGGCATAGTATTTTGCCCCAAAACCAGAGCATCGCATGCAATGTCGCCGATGCAATGATGTCACGTTATCCTGTTAGGGACGTTGTGCACCCCTGGAACACCCCCCCAAATCCCCTTCACCATGATGGTGAGAAACCTAGACAGCATAATAAAAAGTAGAGACATCACCCTGCCAACAAAAGTCTGTGTGGTCAAAGCAATGGTATTCCCAGTAGTACTGTATGGCTGCGAGAGTTGGACCATAAGGAAGGCTTTCGAAGCCAAAGAATAGATGCTTTCAGATAATGGTGCTGGAGAAGACAGTTGAGAGTCCCTTGGACTGCAAGGAGATCAGATCAGTCAACCCTAAAGGAAACCAACCCTGACTGTTCCCTGGAAAGCCAGGTACTGAAGCTGAAGCTCAAATACTTTGGCCACCCAATGAGAAGGGAGCACTCACTGGAGAAGAAGACCCTGATGCTGGGAAAGATTGAAGGTCAAAGAAGACGGGGACAGCAAAGGATGAGATGGCGAGACAGTGTTATTGATGCAACGGACATGAAATTAAGCAAACTCCGGAGGATGATGGAGGACAGGAGGGCCTGGTGTGATCTGGTCCATGGGGTCGCGAAGAATGGGACTCGACTGTGCGACTGAACAACAACAAATGATGGCAAGGAGACCCGGCAACCGTAAACACATATATTTTAAGTGGGGGAAGCATTTTCAGAGCATGTGTTGAGATGTTTCTGCCTGCACTCATCTTGTTGTTTATTCACACCATGCCTAGCAGGCGGGTGGAAAAGCACTGCACTGCCTTACAGGGCCAGCAAAATCTTCGTAAGTGGAAATCTCAAGACATGCCAACCAATGGGGTACGCCGTCGTCTCCCATTGTGCGGCCCGTCAAGGGCAGAAGCCAAGTGCTGGCCGCTTCAAAGCCTTTTCCACGGTGAAAAGGGTTCACTTGCACAAAAGCGCCCTTCCTGCCGTACAAAGGGAATCACAGGCCGAAGCAATTATACAGTCCCGTTGCCGTGTTCTTACATGATAATGCTTCGAGTATTCCCATTCACACTTCTGAAGTCAAGCGGTGAAAATTTGCACAAATATATATTTATTTATTTATTTATTTATTTACCTGCTTCCCCGGAGGATTAATTTGCAAGGATTCTTAAATCCTTGCAAATCAATCCTTTGGGGAAAACACATAAAAAAAAGAGACCCCTCCCAAACATTTGGTAAACCTTAAATAACATTTACACATCTATTATATTTCAGAATCCTATATTAAGCCTGGACAAGGATGATGCTTCACTGGAGTTTCTAAATAAATTAAAGCCATTTATCATTAACAAGGGGCAGAAATCTGTTCTTAAAATATCTCATTAACTTTGCATTCAGATGCTGGCCTGCTTTAATGCTAACGCCTGCTAGCTCTGAAGACACGAACAGCCTGAAAAGTAGAATAATTATAATAAGAGTTGGATTTATACCCTGCCCTTCACTTGGAGTCCCAGAGTGACATACAATCTCCTTCCCTTCCTCTCCCCACAATGGGTACCCTGTGGGGCTGAGAGAGCTCTTTTGAGAAATGCTTGTGAGAGAACAGCTTTGAGAGAACTTGTGACTGACCCAAGGTCACACCAGCAGCTGCATGTGGAGGAGTGGGGAGTGAAACCTGGTTCTCCCAGATTAGAGGCTGTGCTCCTAACTGCTACACCAAACTGGCTCTCAAAACCCCGCTGCAAGAGTCCACTAGCACCTTAAAGACTAACCAAATTTGTGGCATGGTATGAGCTTTTGTGAGTCACGGCTCACATCTTCATATAGCTCATACCCTGCTAAGGTTTCCAGGTGCTTACTGTCTGCCAGCAGGTGCTCCATGCTGCTTCTCAGGATCTTCTTGTGCACACGCAAAGCATGTACGTCGTGATGACATCACCCGGAAATGACATCATTGTGTCGGGCATGTTGTGCAGGGGAAGCTCTAGCAATTGCCCAAAAACTCTATGGTCACCACAGAGTTTTTAGACAAACGCTAGAACGTCCCCCGCACGATGTGCCCAGCGTGACGACGTCACCTCCGGGTGACATAATTGCGCTGAGCACGTCGTGAGCGCCGGGGTTCTTTGGGGGCAGGGGTCCCTCGCCAGCCAGCCAGCCAGCCGGCTGGTGGTGAATTTGGGCCCCCACAATCGGGGGGCCCCCACCCCCATTGGAGGGATGGCAACCCTATACCCTGCCACAAATTTTGTTAGTCTTTAAGGTGCTCCTGGACTCTTGCTCTTTTCTACTGCTACAGACAACCCGTCTGGATCTATCAGCCTGAAAAGAACGACAGGGAATTATTGGTTTCAACTTCACGAAATGCTGATCTCTCTCTCTCTCTCTCTCTCTTAAAAAAATATAGTATGTGATGCTGCCCGGATTAACCTGCATTCATGCAAAGCTGGCACAGCTCACTCGTCTCAACCGAAAGAGGCATTAGATTTAAAGGAAGCGCTTGTTGACCGACAAATGGATTTTTAATCTCTGATTGTTCTTGCTATTAACTGATTATTTTGATGCACTAGAAATGACTCAATTGAAATATTGTAACTTCTGTAACGTGACATTTCTGGGGATCCTGAAGAAAGGAAACTGGGATAATATGTTGCCAAAGGCTTTCACGGCCGGAGTTCATTAGCTGTTGTAGATTTTCCGGGCTGTCTGGCCGTGGTCTTGGCATTGTAGGACCTTACACTTCACAAATAGCTGTGACTGGAATCCTCAGAGGTATAACACAGAAAGACAGAGTACTCTCTGTGTCAAGGTGAGAAGAAAAATGGTAGGCGGGTAACTTATATCGACTCAGGAAGGTGGGGTAGGGCTGAGTCACTATCAGACAATCCATACACAAAAGAACCTCCTCAGGAAAGCTCCTCCATTAGCATGTTCACAGCCTGGGGAACTCCAACCAGATAATGACTCAGCCCTACCCCCCACCTTCTGGAGTAGATATAAATTACCTGCCTACCATTTTTCTTTCAGGAAAATCTACAACAGCTAAGAAACTGGGATAATTCACAACGTAAGAAACTCTCATGGGTCAGGGATAGCCATCGTCAACATTTCTCATTTTCTCACACTTGCAAACAGAACCTATTGGTCAGCACAACTGTAAACCACAGGCCAAATAGCTTCATATGACAAACAAGTTCAAAGACCCTCAGGCCCACGGGATAATGCAGACTTTAAAAAACAAAAAAAAAACAACCACTGGATAAGCTATTGTCAACATTCCTCTTTCCATCACAGATGCAAACAGAAAATATTAGGCCAGCGCAAATCACAACCCAAACAGTTTCATAAAACAAACAAGTTCAAAGCCCATCAGTACCGGTATCACGATTTACAGAACAACCATGGCCACTCATGAATAAGGGATAGCCATCCTCAACATTTCTCTTTTTTGTCACATTTGCAAACAGAAGACCTTTGCTCACTCCACTGTCAATCACAGCCCAAACAGCTTGGTCAAACAAACAAGTTCAATCCCCATCAGTACTATGGAGGAGCCAGGTTTAAAAGCCTTTCAGAGGATGACTTCACCTGAACACTGACAGCTTCAGTGTCCTGCAGTTCCTCTTATCACAGGGAAGCAATAACTGGGGGCAGATGTACTCTGCACTAACCCCCCCCACCCAAGTTTGGTGCTACAGCAATGCAAGTCAAATTACTCCATCCTTTAAACAAAAGCTGAGAGTCATCCGGTACCAACTTTTGCCCTCAAAGAGTGCAAGAACAGGATGGTTTGTCACCTTTGTACACAAGCTCGACAGGAAAACCAATTCTCAGTTTCCTTTCAATTGCATATATTTAGATTAATGACATTCAAAGGCTCTGGTCTTTGCTTCATTGGATTCAGCCATTAACTGGGGTGAACGGGGAAGAGGACTTTAATCCGCAACAGTTAATCGCACCAGCTCATTAATTAAAGGTCTAAATCCTACTTAAAACAATGACATCTATCTTTTCATACAGAGAATTAAAGACATACCTACCCAGGGTTCCACTTTTTGTAAATATGGCTGAAGCAACCTTGACCTCCCTGTCCCCCCTCCCGGCTGCATCTTGACCTTTTCCTCTGCACTGGTTATATAGTGAAGTGGAAATTTACCTGCATAATCTGTTCTTGCATAATGTCCATCTTCTGTCTTCGTGGTCGTAGTTGCATTGTCTGAAGGAAACAAAGAAATGTATGTTGCTTCATTGGTTTTTCTCTCCACTTCCTAACCCTTGTTAAATCCTTTGGCGAATCTTGCACTCATAAGTCATGACAGCCCTCCCATCAAGACACCCTACAAATCAAGATCTGAATCCCGTAGTACCTTAAAGACCAATAAGATTTCCAGTGTATAAGCCTTCAGGACTCAAAGCTCACTTCGTCAGATACCCTCTGACTCTCCAAAGCTCATCCCCTGGTGTCATGGGCAGGGATGGGGATGAGCTGACAGAGCCTGCAGAAACCACAGCTGGCCCCTCTGAAGCAGCAGAGGAGGATAGCTGGCAAGTGCCTGCAACAGCAGTCTTCACACCTGGCCCAGTTAAGAAGGAAGAACTGCAAGCTGAAAGTCCTCTTGACTCACCCCCACGTGTGACTCGTTTAAGGGAGCGACTGCAGCAAAACTTAGCAACCAGGCAAAGAGAGGCCAGGCTACAAGGGAGACACTCGGCCAGCCCAGAGTTCTATCAGGAGCCTGGCCGATGGTGCAGCTGGCTAATTGGTAGCAGCATTTAACTCCACACTCTGGGCAGTACTCTTCGTGGAAGCAACAAGTCAGCTTCATGTTGCTAGCATCCACTCTGGCTCTTGTACCTAGACCTTTGGACTTGGCTCTGTGTTCCTGGCTCCTAGCCCTGGCTTGGCTTTGGACTCTGCACTGTCTTCTTGGCTCCTGACCTTGGCTTGTTCTGGACTCCCCTTGACTGGCACCCCAGCCCATGACACCTGGAACTTGGTGGTCTTTAAGGTACTACTGGACTAGAATCTTGACCTCCTACTACAGACAGATGCAGCTACTCCCTGAAATGAACTATAAATCAAATAAGGGTCTGCTCAAATAGTTAATGATGCATGTGGTAAAGTCCTTCCAAGACTGCGTCGCTTCGAGAACCATTGTAGTACAGTGGTTAAGAGTGATGGACTCTAATCTGGAGAACCGGGTTCGATTCTGCACTCCTCCACATGGGGTGACCTTGGGTCAGTTACAGCTCTTTCAGAGCTCTCTCAGCCCCAAAATAAGTCCAGCTCGCCACCTAGTGGGGCATAACGCTAAAGAGGTAGAATTGAAGGCTGCCAGACAATCCTAGGATCTCCTGGCTATACTACCCAATGCCATATGGTAATTATTAATTATAATTTTTGTGTAGCTTTGTAGAATTAAGGGGGAAGATCTACATTTTTGAACATGCCTTCAATTCACCCCAAAGCTAGAACATGCAGAGTGGTATTAATATAGATTAGGGTTACCAGGTGTTACCTGGCTGCCGGTGGGGGTGTGTGTTCCCTCTCTTCGTCTGGGATCTTGGAAGGAATGGTAACCATAGAGGTTTTTTTCTTGAGCAATAGAGTGTCCCCCCACAACGTGCCCTGTGTGATGATGTCACTTCCATGTGACATCATTGCGCTGGGCATGTTGGCACTAACAGGGTACTTTGGGGGGCGGGGTTCCCCTGTGGGCCAGATTGGGGCTAGTGGATTGGAGGCCTCGAATGCAGACAAACCCCCGCCTACGTCAGGGGACTGGCAACCCTAATATAGGTGCATATTCAAATAGGTAGGTTATCATCTGAAGTGGAAGAATCTTGTGAGGACTATACCACGTGTCATTGAATGCTTGGGTGAGCCCTAGGACCAAAAGCTACTGGTCTGTAGTCTCCCAATGGAAATCTTCCTGCGAGTTACTGTGCAGGGTTTTGCAGAATCTCTCCAGTCACACTGACAGCACTTGACTGTTTAAATAATATTAATTATTTCATCAGCAAATATACGCTATTTTGAGCAGCAACATGACAAAATTGGAAAATTACATATTTTGTGTTGCCATGGGATTTTAAAAAATAAATACGTTAAGAGGAGTTATGAAAACAACGCGAATGCCTGATTATTAAAATTATACAGAGGAGTAAAACAGAATTTAGCATCGAGGCACACTAGATGTCACTGGCTCAACGCACGAGAAACTGAAGGAGGAAGCGAAACTTATCAGAAGCCTCCGTTAACTGCTAGAGAAACAGTTAAAAGCTGATTGCTGGAGCTGTCTCAAGCAATGCTCCCTCTAAGCTGTGGAGTCCTGTGAGCAAAAATCCTAGGTTGTGAGCTGCTGGCATGAAAGTGGTGAGCGAGCAATTTGGCTACTGCATGAATTAGTTTGCTCTGGAGCCGTCCCTTCCTGAGCGAAGACAAAAACGTGTGAGCTGGAGGCGAAAAAACTGTGAGCTGGCTCACATTAACTCAGCTTAGAGGGAACACTGGTCTCAAGGTGTGAATTTTCTCCAGCGCTGAATTGCAATTTATTTATTTTTGATCATGGTAGCCTAAATTTTAACACAGTGCACCGGGGGTGGGGAAGGATCAAGAAGTTTACATGATAAAATGACTTTCCAAAAAACTCGTCCTATCCCCCGAGTGAATATTTCCTTAATTTAAGAGGGCATCTGACACATCATCCGATTGTGGGGAATGAACCATCCACCTCTAGAATTATGTATCCAGAGGAGATTGCATGAGGAAAAAAATGGCAGCCACGGAATCTCTACCGCAGGCAATATAGATGGAAGATTAAGAAGGAAGAGTGGAAGGTAACCGCTTGGCATTTCAGAGGCTTTCCTTCTGTTTGTCAGAGCTTCCTTCCACGTACAGTTCCAGCCAGGTACTGAGATCGAAATTCAGTACTAAGACAAGTTATTCATCTCCTTCGCACTATTTCTCCTTTTTCCAGGTGATGTATTGGATTACGAAATGCTGAGCTGCAGATTTTAATTTAGAATTTGTTTATTTTACTTCATTTAAACCCTGCCTTTCTCCCCAGTAGGGGCTGCAGTGGCTCAGAGGTTAAGATGCTGAGTTGCAGACCGGAAGGTCGGTAGTTCAGCAGTTCGAGACCCAAGTGCTGCATGACGGAGTGAGCTCCCGTCTCTAGTTCCAGCTCCTGCCAACCTAGCAGTTCGAAAGCAAGAAATTGCAAGTAGATAAAGAGGTACCGCTTTGGTGGAAAGGTAACAGCGTTCCATGCGCCTTGGTGTTTAGTCGTGCCAGCCACATGACCACGGAAACGTCTTCGGACAGTGCTGGCTCTTCGGCTTTGAAACGGAGATGAGCACTGCAACCCTAGAGTCGGACTCGACTGGCTTTCGAGCAAGGGGAACATTTACCTTTGCCCCATTAAGTGAGGCAGACTTGCATTCAAAGCCTGGTTTCCATTTCAGATATTCTGAAACAAAACTGTGCATAAAAAGATAGGGGACGTGTCCGTGTCACGCTTCCATTACCCATCCTCAGGAACTATGTCAGGTGGGGTCCCTGGCTCAGTGGAAGAGCCTCAACTTGGCATGCAGAAGGTCCCAGGTCTGATCCCCGGCATCTCCAGTTAAAAGGATCAGGTGGTAGGTGATGGGGAAGGAAGGATGGACGGAAGGGACGACTCTCTGAAATGAATTCTTCTGGAGGCATTACCTTGGCATCTCCCCAAAGACATGACTTCAATCTTCTCCTGTTTCTGGCATGAGGCTTCTTTGATCTGACATGCGTTGTCGTAAGATTTCCCGTCGGAAGCACAGAGAGGATTGAAGTTGGTTTGAGAACAGTCGATGTTGCACACACACCTGGGAAAAAGAGAGAAACAGGTCTAATGTAAAAACTTTAAAAATCCACTAATGATCAATGAAAGGAAAATCCTCCCTCTCCTGCACAGTATAAACACCTTGTAAAAATGTTAATAAAATGCTTGAAACTTTGGTCTTCATTTACCCTATACAGTAGAATGAAAGCGGAGACAAGGGATAAGCATGTACCCACATGAGAGCCAGTTTGGTGTAGTGGTTAGGAGCACGGACTCTAATCTGGGAGAGCCGGGTTTGATTCCCCACTCCTCCACATGCAGTGGCTGGTATGACCTTGGGCCAGTCACAAGTTCTCTCAGAGCTGTTCTGGAAAGAGCAGTTCTTGAAAGAGCTCTCTCAGCCCCACCTGCCTCACAGGGTGTCTGTTGTGGGGAGGGGAAGGGAAAGGAGATTGTAAGCCACTCTGAGACTCCTCCGGGTAGTGAAGGGTGGGATATAAATCCAATCTCCTCCTCCTCCTCCTCCTCCTCCAGCGTACATACATGAAACTGTCACTGGCATATCAAGGTTGGTATTGCCCAGTTGGACTGGCAACGTCTCTCCAGGGTCTGAGGCAGTGAAAGGGCTTTCCTTTCCTTTCTCCAATAAAAGCTCTATAACTCAATGCTTTGAGCAGTACAACAATCTGAAATTTCATTTATAATCTCTGTTTATTTCCCAAAGGACAAAAGGAATTAAATTTTTTTGCAGCGTCCAAGGTTATGTTAGGGTTTTGATCTAGAGTAGGAAGGGGACCCCCCTGCTTGGATTAGCATCATTGAAATTCACCGTCCGCAGTAGAATAAAATGGCATCGTAGATTAGGATATAGAGGGCATTCCGATAAAATATGAGCAATTGAATCGATTTTACCAAGGGAGCAAGAGCAAATTCTGCCAGAGTAGGGCAGATGCAAAAAACGGCCTCTCGTCATAACCATTCTCGAATGGCCATTCCTTCTAGCCAGAGTAAAAGCCTCAAGAAGACCAGGTGAAGTCAGATGATAAGCACAGGAGGGAAGAGAATCAGGGGAAGTATTCCAAAAAATTGTGAAGAACAAACTCTTTGAGCATGAAGAGTAGAACACCCTGACCTCGATAGCCCAGGCAAGCCGCTCTCATAAGGTCTCGGAAGCTAAGCAGGGTCGACTCTGGCAAGTACTTGGATGGGAGACCTCCTTGGAATACCATCAGTTGGGAGGTGGGGGCGGGCTTTATTCAGCCACCTCTTTGAATATTCTCTATGCCCCCAGTAGGGGTCAGTCATCAGGGGTCGCCATGACTTCCAGGTGCACACACATGCACATATCAAAAATACAACCCCCCACCAAAGCATGAAGAATAGAGCTATTGTAGTCAATCTACCTAATCTGTTTTTTCAATTGTAGTTGCTGAATCAGTGAGCCCTAATTCCTTTATTGGTTATATTCCCCATATTGCCTACTACCTGATCCTTGAAACTGGAAGTACGAGGGATTGAACACAGGACCTTCTGCATGCAAAGTAGATGCTCTACCACTGAAGAAGAAGAAGAGATTGGATTTACTTCACTCGGAGTCTCAGAGCGGTTTACAAACTCCTTCCCCTTCCCCTCCCTACAACAGACACCCTGTGAGGTACATGGGGCTGAGAGAGCTCTTTCAAGGACTGTCCTTGAGAGAACAGCTCTGACAGAACTATGGCTTGTCCAAGGTCATCCAGCAGCTGCATATGGAAGAGTGGGGAATCAAACCCGGTCATTCCAGATTAGAGTCCACACACTTAACCACTACACCAAACTGATCCATGGCCCTTCTCCTACCTCACAGGGTGTCTGTTGTGGGGAGAGGAAGGGAAGGAGATTGTAAGGCGCTCTGAGACTCCAAATGAGGGGCAAAGTATAAATCCAATCTCCTTCTTAAAAAAGAAAAAGGGCTACATCATAACAAATTGGTCCAGGAAAACACACAGTGTTTCCACAGATATGATACCATGTATTGCCGAGTTTGATGTGCCACATTTAACACCAATGCTATGTTCAGACAACAGCTGTTTCAAAATCCTGCAATTCCTAGTCCTGTTACATTGCTTATTAGAGGTATCATCCTAGTGATTGCGCTGATTTACACTGTGTACTCTGCCGTGTCTCGGCAATAAAAGCAGTGAGAAAGGCAGACTATAGAAATAATGTAAGTAAGTAAATTAAGGCAAACTATATAATGTAAGTAGGTAAATAAAAAATAAATAAGGTAAGCATGACTAAACTGTACTTAATATGATAGACCAGGGGTCCCCAACTTTTTTGAGCTTTTGGGCCCATTTGGAATTCTGACACTTTATGGAGGGCGCAGCCCCAAAATGGCTGCTTCAGGAGTCGGAGCCAGCCACAAAATGATTGCCAGAGCTTAACGCAGTGTAGATCGGGGGTGGCCAAACTTGCTTAATCTAAAAGCCACATATATTAAATGTCAGATGTTTGGGAGCCGCATGACATGAACAAATATTACAAATATTTATTTACTAGGAGCAAAGCCCATTGTGAAGGAAGACAAATGGGCCCTAGCATGGTGCGACGGAGGCGCCCCCAGTCTCCCGATCTCTCCCCCCATGCGACCCCCCCCAGAGTCAGGGGGTGAGGGAGTGGCTGGGTGACCTCGGGGCAGGTGGTGCAGTGGCTCCTGCCCAGTGAGATGCCAGCCAGTTGCGTGTAGTCGGCGATGGCGGCAGCAGGATCAGGCGTGGCCAGAGGTGGCTCCCCCACACTTGAGTGGGTGGTGCAGCCGTCGTCTGGATGCAGGGCAGCCAGGAGCCTGTAGCCGGGCTCGGGTGAGGGCGGCGGCAGGATCGGGGTGAGCCCCCCCCACTGGAACGGCTGGGACGCCCATCATCAGATTGCACGGAGGTTGGGCGGCAACACACGTTCAGGTTCAAGTGGCGGTGGCAGGTTCGGGCCATGCCCCCCCCCAGTAGCACGTGCGGACCATCTGTCATCGGGCTGTGCGCAGCCTGGCTGGCTATGGACGCTTGGGAGAGGGCAGACACAGCGGCTTTTTGGGTGGTGGGGTGAGATTCCGCCATGGTGTCTTCAAATTGCAGGGCATGTTCACCCCGGCACAGCATCTGTGGGCGGGTGTCAGAGACTGCGGCCAGTGGCCAGCGTCCCCGGTGTGAGTGGTGGCTGGCTCAGGCTACAGCTGAGGGAGCGCATCGAGCGTGGCCACGCCAAAGCAGCTCTCTCTTCGAATCGCAGGGCACGTTCACTCCAGCGGGGGCAGTTCACTCTGTGGGCGGGGGCAGAGACTGCAGCCAGTGGCCGACGTCCCTGGCGTGAGTGGCGGCCGCCTCAGCCTATGGCTGAGGGAGTGCATCGAGTGTGGTCACCCCAAATTAGCTTTATAATATGAAAGATTTATTTATTTATTTATTTATTTATTCATTCATTCATTCTATTTTTACTCTGCCCTCTCTGCCGAAGCAGGCTCAGGGCGGCTTACAAAGGATAAAACCTAAAAACAATTATAATATAGTAGTAGTAAGTAAATTTATTGCATATGGCTGTAGGCCGTTACAATATAAAATATACACAATATGAATTTAAGGTTCGAAAGTACTGTTCTAAAAACAATGCCTTCAAAATAAGACTGTATAACGTTTCAACAATAAAACAATCAAAGTTTTAAAATCACAGAAGCTATGCTACTGGTTTTGTAGCTCTATGTTATACAAGAAGAAACCACTTTGGAGCTAACTTTTCTGGCTGCAAGCGCAAAAAGCGCTACCTTGCGAGTAACCAGGGGATACATGTCCGACAAGAGGAAAACCGACTTTTCATTGTCAGGTAAGTTGTAAAACTGGCTTAAAATTGCAGATAGGAATCTGCTTCTTAGGTCTGAGTATAAAGGACAGACCATGATGTAATGAAATAGATCTTCCGCTGTGGTACCACACACACACACACACACAGACACACACACACAAACATACTGTTCCTGTGGTTTGTTGGTAGACCTTCCAAGCAGCACTTCAGTGGGTATGGATTGAAAGCGAAAAGCAATAAATGCCACTCTTAAACTGTGGACTGCAATGTCTGGAATTATAATATAGGTAACCATGGGTCATTTCGCAGAAAAAGAGGTGCAGGAGCTCATTAGCATAACTCATTAGCACAACTAATTTGCATATACCACACCCCCTGACATCACAGGAAGTGTGTCAGAAGGCAACACCCACCACTCAGGCTCGATTGCTAACTATTGGGTGGGGGGAACCTCTATCCTCGCAGAGGAAGGAGAGCTTGTACCTGCATAAAACTTGGTCTTAAAGGTGCCACTTACTGTTTTGGACCAGGGGGCCGGGGGAAGCTCTGCAACTTACCTGGCTGCTTCTTGCTGTGACTGAGGGCTACTGGGAGCAGGGGGTGGGGCTTGTTACATGTGGCCGGCCACTGGGCTCTTTACTGCCGGAGCTCTGCTCCTGTGCACTCCTGCAGGAAATGACCACTGGGTAAAACCATATAAACAATCTGATGTTATAAATAAATGATATGCAAATTTGCTTTTTTATTAACATTAAACGAGACTGCCAAAAATAACAAAAGCGGTAGAAGCAGATATTGATAATGATACTTATTTGTCCTATGTTATTTGTTCGCTAATGACGTTTAACTTCTCCGGCCGCCCTGCCGGGAGCCGCGTGCAGCTCCCGCGCCACAGTCTGGCCACCCCTGGTGTAGATCCTTGCGCTGTGTTGGCAGCTGCTGCCAAAGCAACATTTTTAAAAAAAAAAAAAAAAAAACGCAATGACAAATAAATTTCTT